TTTTTTTTAAGATTTATTTATTTTTATTACAAAGTCAGATATACAGAGAGGAGGAGGAGAGACAGAGAGGAAGATCCTCCGTCTGATGATTCACTCCCCAAGTGAGTGCAACGGCTGATGCTATGCTGATCTGAAGCCAGGATCCAGGAACTTCTTCTGGGTCTCCCACACGGGTGCAGGATCCCAAGGTTTTGGGCCATCCTTGACTGCTTTCCCAGGCCACAAGCAGGGATCTGGATGGGAAGTGGGGCTGGCGGGATTAGACCTGGCACCCATATGGAATCCTGTCGCGCTCAAGGTGAGGACTTTAACTGCTAGGCCACGCCGCTGCCAGGCCCATCCCTAATCTATTCTTAAGGATGGAACCCTCAGGCCAGTTACCTCTCCACGGCCCCCACCTGCCTGCACCGCTGTGTTAAGGTGAACTTTGGGGGTATGCACTCCGACCCTCATACAGCCTTAAGCCATCTGCTCCAAGTTTTTCAAAGCCTTTCCCGAGCACGCTGTTCTTTGCAGCACTTCTCCCCAGCCTCGCCTGAGTGTGCCGTGTGCACCTGCATGCGCTGGCCTTGTTAAGAGTGTGCTCTTGTGGACAGGCACCAGGGCTGCTGTGTCTTACTGAGTCCCGAGATTGACTAGCACTCAGTCATCACTGTCGCTTTCGCCAGCTTGAAGGACTGACAGGACAGTGGTGAGCTAGGTAAATTAGGGCAAAACTCTAAAAATTTCCCTGGTTATCTAAGCTCCCATTATTTGCATTTGGAATTTGGATTTTCTCGTCCAGTTCACTGTTGGAAATGGAGAAATGGAATCTCAAAGAGTTTGAAAGCGCACGTCCCATTTTCTTGACTGGACTGTGGAGGCTTTCACAGCCTCTCTGATCGTGGTGTGGAAGTGGCTGCCCTTGGGGTCCCTGCGCTGTGGCTGTATGCCCCTCTGGCCTGATGGCCCTTGTAAACCATGTTGGTCATCACCAGTGGGCACAGTCCTCTGGTGACCTCAGAGCACCAGATGTGGCAGCTGAAGGGCAGGACCGCTACTGTCCCTAGAAGGCTAATCTGTAGTGGCAGATAAGTTAGGACTGTTTCAGAGTACTGCAAACTTAGGTTTATGAGTGGCCAGCGACAGAAAAATCATTTTAGAAAGTTTAAAACCTACGAGGCTGCTTTGAGATCTTTCTGGAAAAGTCGAATTTTTAAAAGGCTTATTTTGTTACAAAGCTCTTGAAATGCGTGCGTACTTTTTCACTTTCCTGTAAGCGTTTAGAAGACCCTTATATGCAGGTTGCCCTTGCAGTATGGTTTATTCTCAGCAAGTGTTTATTCTCAAGCAGCACTTGGGGGAAGTTACCGCTTTCCGTATGTCAAGACGAGGGAGGGTAGCGTGGGTTATTTCACAGTGCGGTGTTGAATCCACCAAGATGAGGGTGGCGTGGGTTACTCCGCAGTGCGGTGTTGGATCCAGTGGTGACGCATAGCTGTGCTACTGCATTGATATTGAGTCCTTGCATTGAAGCGCTCTATTTGTCACAGCAGAAGTGGTATTAAGCAAAGGACAGCATAGCAGGACTTCTCGCTCCTGCTCAGGGCCGGCCTGGCTTGGCGCCCTGTGGATATCCCGTCGGACTCAGAAACAGCCGGATTCCTCTCAGATCCTGCTTTTACATCAGGACTTCTTCCCAGATCCCGGTGAGGCCCACACTGTGTGCGACCCTGCACAGAGAGGGGCAGTGCTGGGGCTGTGGGCTGATCCTGCACCTCCCAGCTGGTATCCCATATGGGCGCTGGTTCTAGCTGCTCCACTCCCCATGCAGCTCCCTGTCTGTGGCCTGGGAAAGCAGCAGTTTATGTCCCAAAACCCTGCTCCCGTGTGATCTGGCTCCTGGTTTTGGATCAGCTAAGCTCCAGCCTTTTCGACTATTTGACAAGTGAACCAGCAAAAGGGAGACCTTACTCCAGGCTTCTCCTTCTCTATAAGATCTGCCTTTCCAGTAAAACAACTAAATATTAAAAAACAATAATACAGAAAAACCTTGCATGGCCTTTCCTGTCTCCTGTGACAGGGACTTCTCAGGTGGCTGTCATGTAGAGTCACAACTGGGGAGCTGTCGGCAGTGCCGATCCCTGGGGTTCAAGGTGGCCTCCTGGACATTCACCTGCTGCAGCCGCTAGCATCGCAGAGTGTCAGCAGGTGGATCCCGTGAATGATGACTGGCTGACAGGGCTCCCCACCGCCTGCCTCAATGAGGTCACAGTGTTGGCACAGCGGTGGGCTCTCCGGCGGCAGAGTCAGCTCTGCCTGTGCCTTCTCTTGCTGGCTTCCCTATGCTCCTGCTCCCTGCCATGGGATGGTACAGGACACGGCCCTCACAGGTGTGCCCTTCATGTGGGACTTCTCACCGTGGAGACCCATGAGCCACCTAGGCTTTATTGTTAGTAAGGGATCTGTTCTGTGGCACTCTGCTGTAGCTACTTAGTACGTACTGCATGTGGTCCTCGTTCAGGTTCACCAGCTTTCTGTGTACTCATTGTGTGCATGCTTGTGTGTGTGCACGTGAAGTTCTTTCGTTAAAAAGATGTATTTTATCTATTTGAAAGTCAGAGAAGGATGGAGTGGGGAGAGAGAGAGAATTGAGAGATTGATTGATTGATTGAGAAATCTTCCATCTGCTAGTTTGTTAGCTACATATATGGCCACAACAGCCATAGCCTGGCCAGACCAAGGCCAGGAATTTCCTCTAGGTCTCTTAAATATGTGCCAGACTCCAAGCTCTTGGGCCATCTCCCACTGCTTTCCGAGGTGCAGGGAGCTGCTCAGAAGCAGAGCAGCCAGGACTCGAACCTGCACCCATGTGGCTTGCTGACATCGTAGGTAATGGCTTTACCTGCAGTGTCACAGCACTGGCCCCTGTATTTAAAATTCAGTGCAGTTTGACCATAAGTGTATGTAACCACTTCTCTTTCTTAAAAATAATATTTATTTTTATTGGAAAGTCAGATATACAGAGAGGAGAGACAGAGGAAGATCTTCCGTCTGCTGATTCACTCCCCAAGTGGCCACAATGGTTGGAGTTGAGCTGATCTGAAGCCAGGAGCCGAGAGCTTCTTCCAGGTCTCCCACATAAGCGCAGGATTCCAATGCCTTGGACCATCCTCAGTTGCTTTCCCAGGCTACAATCAGGGCGCTGGCTGGGAAGTGGAGCTGCTGGGATATGAACCGGCGCCTATATGGGATCCTGGGGTGTGCAGGGCAAAGACGTTAGCCACTAGGCTACTGTGCCAGGCCCTACCACTTCTTTTTTAAATACGTGAGAGAAGCAAGGCTTGGTTAAGTTTTATGCAGTGCTCTTTGTGTAGCTCTGACCCAAGTTTTTGACTTTTTAGTAAAAACATGATTAATAGCAATACTAATTAAAAACAGCATCTGTAACTCACCAAGTTACATATATCAAGAACTTACCCTGTGGCTGGTACCACAGTAATTTATCGATTCATTTAAGTCCATCCAATATGTATTCCATGTAAATTATATCGCAATTGAATTAGTCTCTTTAATTAAGCTCACCTATTGCCAAGAAATAAGTCATTATCGTTACAACTCCTGGAGTCAGCTATAAAATGCTGAACTTCCCGGCTCTTTGTGCACAATTTCACGTTTTGAACCTTTGACCTGAACCACTGATCTTGGCAGTTGTTGATAACTTTTGTTTATATAAAAGTATAATGCATGATTATAGATGGAGTTAGGTAGAGATCACTTTAAAATAGCTTTATGAAGTTATACATGGGAGTGGACGTGGGCAGACGGCCAGGAGGCTGGAGCCTGTGACTGGGAGAAGTCTGCGTGTTGGTGGTGGTGGGGAGCTCAGTGCAGTGCCCAGGACTGTGGGCACTTAGTCGAATCTCCCAAGCTGTGTGTCTCCCTTTGATTGTGGCACCTAACATGTTTGGTGGTAAGTAGGGATTAGCAGAGTAGTGGAATTTCCTCATGGGGAAGATCGCTGTGCAGCCAGCAGCCGGTAATATGCCCTTCTCTGCTTGCGAAACCTCTTGTGAGTCTGTCCCTTGGGTGGACAGCAGCGTCATTCCAACAGGACCCTCAGCACCCCAGAGTCCTGATGTTTTCCTTGATGGCAGGCTGAAAACAGAAGGAATCCTGTTCTCAATACCTCACGTGATCCCGCTGGAAAATGAAACACGTGCTCAGAGTGGATAGGACTCCCTGCAAGCCACCTGCCCTGAGAGTCTCCGGTAGCACGCTGGCCGGGAGGGTGGTGGCATCGATGGACACAGCTGGCTTAGGTGGCTGCTGCTGTGTGCCGGTGCAGCCCTGTGGACCCCAGGGCACTTTGGCAGAGTAGAGGAGGAGCCCTGCCAGGGCCTCACAGCTGTCCTTCGACTCTTATAGGAATACGCTGTTCAGCCCCGTCCAGCCTCACGGTGCGTGCCGTGTGTTAACCACTGCATGCCGATGGCTCGCTATGTGTGTGGCTGACTTCAGCCAGCCATCCCATCGCATGGATGTTTTGGGAGCTGCGTGTTCTGGGGAACTCTCTGGAAGCTGCTCAGCGCTTTCCTGGACTACTCTATTGCATCTCTATTCTTCTGAGGAAGATTTTTCCTATTTATGACTCATTTTACTCCTTGGCTAATGCGGAGGGACATGTAATAACAATCAGGGGGAAGGAATGTCCACGCTTCTCTTGTTTTGAAAACCTGTGCACCACTTTGTCTGTCTTGGGTTATGTAAACTTGGACGACCGCAGCATGTTGACAACTGTGAAAGGTTAAAAAAAAAAAAAACCCATGAATGCACAGTTCTCTGGAATTTGCAAATCGAAAAGGCTTCCTTGGCGCTTCGGAGAAGGGTTGCATGTGGTGGCTTCCAGGTGCGAGTCCAGGAAAAAACGGGGGGGCTCCTGCCGTCGTGGCCACACACCTCCTGCGAGTTGAATGGGGTCCCTCTGAGATGACGCTCTGTGTTTTGTTTTCATTTTATAGGTCTGTATGAGCTGCTGGCTGGACTGCCAGCGCAGCTGCAGCCACATGTGGACAGCCAGGAAGACCTGACCTTCCTCTGGGCCGTGTTTGGTGAAAAGAGCCTGCATTCACTGGTCAAGGTAAAGCCCTGCCCATGTCAGATGCTGTTTATGCTAGCAAGCAATGTGGAAAAACACTGTGAGCGCCATCAAGTCAACCCGAGGTGGAACTGTCACTCTGCACACAGCACAGCCTTGTTGCTCTCCCACGGGCAGGACACCGTTCAGGAATCTTCCCGAAAAGACCGAGAGGAGCCCACTTAGTGTCGGGGTGAGGGTCTGGCTGCACAGCAAGCCTGGATCGCTTTGGTTTTAGGGAAAGCCGCTGAAGGAGTCGAGCCCCTGGTGGGTCCGTGTTCACGAGCTGGGATTCAGCTTCCATAAATAAATGTTCACGGCACCAATGAGAAGGAATATATTTTTTGAGGTCAAGAATGGCAGCAGTTCAGGAGCCACATTCATTTAAAATAATTTCCTTTAACAAAGTCAACTGAAATCCTAGCATGCTGCTCCTTTCCCGGCACAACTTCCCCGAAATGGTGTTTTGTAGATAAATGACACCAAAGTGAAGGCTGAAGAAGAAAAACTTTTTTTTTTTTTTCGAGACAGTGGTAAGAAAGCCTCATGCTTGAGTATGATCAGCCACCAGGAACCAGATCTGGGAGTCATCAGGCCTGTTATAGTAAAACGAGAAGCAGCAGCTCCTCTTGCTTCTGGAAATAGGACCGTGTGGCTTTTCTTTCACTCAGGCTGCTTCCTGGGGCCCCTGACAGGCACATGCTTCGGCCTCAGGAATCCTTGGGTTTGGGCTGAATTCAGCTCAGTTTGCGGTGGCTCAGGGCCTGCCCTTGCTTGAGCTATAGCTATAGCGTTGGAGAGTGAGCCAGTTCCAAGTCAGCAGAATAAGGGAATTCTTCTTTTTTTTTTTTTCCCTCCTTTTTTCCTTGTTGTCACGCTTTCTGAACTTCACGTGTCATGACATTGATCTGCAGGTGAAAGTGTCCAGCCCAGGGGGCTTTGCTAGTGTAACACATCAAACGGCAGCGCGGCTGCCACCTGGCCAGTTGCTCGTTTTGCCGTGATGGTGGAGTTGCCAGGGTGCTCTGTGCCTTGAGTGCTTTTAAACCACTGAGTTGCTGTCTGGGGGTTGGCGTTGTCTGTGATGATACTGGTGACCAGTGAGGTCAGCCCCGAAGGCAATCCCGGGGAAGAATGTTGAGAAGGTCCACAGCCGTGGACTTATTTATCGCGATTTGAGGTTTTGATAAGAGGAATGAAGTTATGTGAAGGGCAATGTCATCCTCCAGCCGCTCCCTTCCGCCTACAGCACGGCTGCTGCCTCAGTTTTCTTACTTGGAAAGTGGGAACTTATAAAACCCGTCAGCCACGTTGCTGGTGAGTTTAACAGAGAGTAAGATAAGATCTCAATTCTTTCCCCGTTATATGAGTTCAGAAAAGCTTAAGCCTCATTAAGTGTTGAAAATGGCTTGAAAATGCAGAAATGGTTGTTCTTATTCTGCGAATTCATTCCCCAGCTACACTGGCTGATTCTCTCAGTGTGTCGGTGATAGGTGGGCGGGACGTGAGTTGGAGAGTGTTGCTGTCTAGCGTCTTACAAGCTACAAAGCACATCAGTCGATGTTTCCAGGACTTAGAGAATACGCTGGTATCCACCTGAATGTTTCCGTGTAGCTACCAACAAGTGTACTTGGAACGCTAGTTTTATTACAGGCCGCTAGTGCAGCTTTGGCTTTGATCAGAGATGCATGTCAAGTGCATCTTGACTGACCCGTCTGTTAGTTTCAAATACGTGGACTCTGAATGTGTCTAGGAAGCAGGATTGCATTGCAGCGTGAAATAGCTGGAACAAGCCACTTAGCAGTAGTCCAAATGTGTCTACTTAAGGCTGAAGGATGGAAACCTCCAGGCTTCTGCGCATAAACCTTGTTGTAGAACAAAATGACTTTGTTGGAGAAGACTTGAGTTAGAAACACGCTTCAGTTCTAGGCCCTCCTGCCTGTGCCGGAAGCTGGGATTAAGAACTGCGTGTGCAGATGCAGCCCTGGGTTTTATTCTAGCACACGTTTTCCATAGCCATCATATGGCTTCATTTGTATTTATGAAAAAGCAAATCATGAATTATCACTCAGTCTTAAGAAGTACTCTTCATGTAGCACGAGATATGCTCAAAAGAGGCATTTGTGTGTGATGGTCAGGGTAACGGAGACAGGTGCCATGGAATGCTTCCACTCAGGGCAACTCTCTGTCAAGGAATTGTGTGGCGTACAAGGCTGCCAGTGGAAAGAAAAGAGAAATGGGATTATCTTATAGGGTATTATTTGAGGATATTTTTTAAAAGGAAAAATTTCAAATTAAAAAGCTGAAGCCTTTGAGAAGATTTTGGAAGTGTCAGTGCTGAGAAAAGATTTTAAAAGTACATACTAGCGCATCTTTTGTGAACCTACAGTTCCATAACACATAGATTTGTGTCAATCCAGCCTCTACTTGTACTTTTCCCTGCTGAGATTGCCTGATTTACATTTTATTTTGCTTGGTTGTGGGATAAATCTAGTGCATGGATTTCAAAATTTTTCATAGCAAAAATAAACTTACTGTTAGTTTTATTTTTCCCATGGCTTTTAAAAAAAGATTTATTTATTTTTCATTACAAAGTCAGATATACAGAGAGGAGAAGAGACAGAGAGAAAGATCTTCCGTCCGATGATTCACTCCCCAAGTGAGTGCAATGGCCGGTGCTGTGCCAATCCAAAGCCAGGAGCCAGGAACCTCTTCTGGGTCTCCCACACGGATGCAGGGTCCCAAGGCTTTCCCAGGCCACAAATAGGGAGCTGGATGGGAAGTGGAGCTGCTGGGATTAGAACTGGTGCCCATGTGGGATCCCGGTGCATTCAATGTGAGGACTTTAGCCGCTGGGCCCTTCCCATGACTTTTTAAAGTCTGCTTGTGTTTCCTTTTTTGTAACCTGGTTTAAACTTGTTTAAGAATTAGATGTGGCATACTGACTTGCTTAGATAATGAGGAGATAGCTCTGATAGTGCAAGAAGCTTTTGTTGTGAACTCGCCGTTGTGTTGGATTCCCAGCATAGGACTATGAAACTGTTAGTAGGTACTGAGTAGTTGTATCTGTTTTCCTCCTTTTACATAATTTTACCTGTGTCTGAGGACAGGAAAAGAAAAATAGTAAGCTGGTTTTTTTATTTTCTGAATTTTCAAAGTATTTGCACAAACAAAAGTGATATTTTTGAGAGAATTTTTCTCTTACGATTGAATTATTGTTTGCTTTGTGAGGTCTTAAAGCAGTAAATATTAATTGATTTGTGTGGCATTTGTTGCTGCCTGTACTGTTACTGACTGGAACCCTACAGCTAAAATGTGCAACGTGGCAGGTGCATTTCTGTGCCCTGTATGGTCTCCAGTTCCCCGGATGGAGGGAGCTCAGACATATTTAGAGCTGTTTGTGAGAGGCATGCACTGCCCCATCCGGGGTCTGTGATTTTGGTATCTGGCTAGAACCTGAATGTGTCATGGATGGGGCTGGGGGACATACATAGGAGTGAGCACAGTGTCTTACTGGCAAAGGCAGACAGATTCTGGGGGCTACTGTGTGCAGTGGGGAGGGCTGTGGGCAGCAGAGTCTAGCAGGGAAGGCGAGCAAACAGCAGCTCTTCAATGACGCACAAGCTGCATTACAGGCACAGACCTAATCCTAAGAGAGAGGATGGCATTGTAGCGGAGGGCGTAAAGCGAGGGAGCGAAGAGAGCAGTTTTCCTTGTAGAAGTCAGGTGGCTTGCTGTCTCCTATGGTTTGGTCAGAGTGTTGGGGCAGGGGAGTTGATTTGAGCTTGAGAGAGGGGGTTCCGATCTTCAACCCGGGCTCATCGGTGTGTGTGTGTGTGTGATGATAATGAACATGTTGGACCACCTTGTGCTGGGAGAACCAGCTGCTGGTTGTGGGAAGCTGCTGGTAGTGAAGAGGGGGCTCCGCAGAGACCCTAGAAGTCCCAGGGTTCCAGCTTCCCTGTGCTGACTCTGAGCAGAGGAGAGGACAGGAGACTTGAGATTTACTTATGTGTGTTGGTGATCTGGAGCGTGAGTGAGTAGCCTGCTATGTAGTTGGATAAATCAGTCCTGAACTGAGTGTGATTACGTCCTAGGTTAGAGATAATGAACTCAGAAATAGGACTGCCAGGGGAAATATGGAGCATCCACTTGAATTGGAATTTCAGACACATGAGGTTTTTTATGTGTACGTATGAACTGCAAAATTATTATTATATTTTCAATTTCAGATTTCAACTGTTCATTACTGGAAGATAGGGAGTCAATTGACTACTTTTTGAAAAGATTTTATTTTTATTGGAAACTCAGATATGCAGAGAGGAGAGTCGGAGAAAAAGAACTTCCACCCCTCTAAATGGCTGCTACGGCTAAAGCTGAGCCGATCTGAAGCCAGGAGCCTGGAGCCTCTTCCAGGTCTCCCACAGGGTACAGGATCCCAAGGCCTTGGGCTGTCCTTGACTGCTTCCCCAGGCCACAAGCAAGTAGCTGGATGGAAAGCGGGGCCACTGGGATTAGGACTGGCGCCTATATGGGATCCTGGCATGTGCAAGGTGAGGAGTTTAGCTACTAGGCTGCCATGCTGGACCCAACTGACTTTTTAAAACAGATTCCATTCATTCTATAGGCATGATTCCAAAAAAATAGTCCTGCTTCCCTTGTTCTCCAGCTTATTCCCCATGGCCTCCACCCTTCTTTCTCTTCAGTATTTATGCAGTCACCATTTTCTTAAAAAGTGATTAATTGATTTATTTTATGGTATAGATCCATAACTCTAGCATTTCTCCTCCCTCATCCATAGACCTGCTCCCCACCACTGATTTTCCCTATTTTATTGCAATAGTGTTGTTCTTCATAAACAGTCATAAGCCCATCGTTATGGGTATGGACAGTGACAATGAGTCCAGCATCCTATTTTCAAAATATATTTTTAACAGTTTCAATGGGAGTCCACCTTTGATTCAGAAGTAGAGATGCCTAACGCATTGTATCTTAACATCTGG